AAAACGTCAAAGGTATGTCCGTTACTATTGCTGTATGATCGAGGGGAATTAGTAAATGTTTGGTCTAAATGTTGTTCGAATTTGTTTTCATATTTTTAGCACAGTTACATCAGGCAGCTGGTTGCATCTCCAACGATTATTAGTTGTCTGAGATTGCATGTACTTCCGTTTCACGGCGCTCCTGTGACAATATCTTGAGCATGGAGGAGGCAATAAATTTGAGTACAATAATTATACGAAAAAGAGCCTATTGCTTTTTATTTGGGTCGGCAGACTCGCCGTGTATGAATCAAACTGGGCAGACACGATAACATGAAGTCGACATCACTGCCAACTTGTCGCCTCTTGTGAAAGTGTGAATGAGTATTGTTGACCGAAAATCCTCACGATTTCTTGACGGATATGAAAATATGAATGATTTATTATGAATATATTTATAAGTTTTAGTTTCTATCTATGGTAATCTGTATATTTCATGGTTATATGTAGAGAGGGCAATACATTGTTTTCAGGTCCTGAACACTAGCAAACTGGCAATATTCAATCTGTGAAAAGCAGGTCCAGTGAAGAACACAGCAGATCAGGTAGACATTTATTTTATTACAGGTTTAATCTCCATAGAGCCATGTTATAATTATTTTTAAGATAGGCTCAAAGAATTTTTTTTCGATAAGCTTAATAAATATTTTTTTCAACTCGAATGTACTGAATATGAATTATTACTAGCCATCTAGTATCCATGAAGGAAGAGCATTGTAATATCCTAAAATAAAAATATAGTAATTTAAAAAATGCAATTACCATGTGCAATAATTAAGTTTTTCCGTTTCAGGTTTTACCAGACCCAGCACAGTGTACAACAAATTGTTGTTGCAAAGGCCTTACACCACAAGATGGTTTGGCATGCTTTTTTTAATATGTGGGTAGACAGAAAAACCACAGATGACATAATGTATTTATGGATTTTTGGCCCAGTGACACAGATATAGATGAACTGTTCAGAACATGCATTTTTAACTTAGCAGTGTTGGCAAGAACCCGAAGCGACACCATGGACTACTAGTCTGAAACAGTTGAAGCAGCAAGCACAAGTGAACTAAGTATTGAGGAAGAGCAGGCACTCGGATATTTTGCTGATTACATTCCCTACAACTTAAAGAAAATGGCAATGGCAATGGCAATGGCAAAGCACAAAAGCAAAATTAATTAAAATTTGTATTTATTTATAACTTATTTACATCTAACAATAAATACAAAAAACAGCAATATATTAGTATATCTTGTTTTTTTACTATTTTACATTGTTTTCAAAAACAGAAATACTAACACTTCTGTTTGGGAAGAGAAGTATCATCTACTATATGCTGTAAGGGCCTTCTCTTGTGTCTCTTGTGTCTCCCTGTATTGCCTGTGATGCACTGCATATGATAAGATTTTTGAAGTCTGATGACATTCTCTTGATACCCAAAAGCCATAACTGTTGGGTTGTTATTTGCTCCTCCTCTGTGCCGATGCTTACTGAAGTGGGCTTGTAGTGGGTCTTGACGGAACCTCTCACTCAATATAAAATCCACTCCATGGTTTAGTAGATATTTAGATACTTCTACAAAAGAATGCACTGGGAAAAACAAAATAAAAATAACTCGTAAGATAAATTTTAAATTACTAGCATATTAACAATTTCTGGAAAACTTTACAGTGAATAACAATTTCACATAAAATAAAAATAAGTGCGACTCAACTCACCGGTCATTTTCAATTCATCAACCGTTTGTTTACTAAGACACATAGCATTTCCAGCACTTTGAGAATATAATAACTTCCACATTTAATTCTTATCTGTTGCATTGTAGCATCATTAGCAATGGTAACATGCGATTGTGAAAAGTCATCACATTCACTGGACTTTTTTTTCAAATTGCTTGTAGTAACTCTTGGGCCTCCGAAAACTGTTCTTCTTACGAGGCATGGTTGTTAAGAGCTTGTATGGCTTCAACAGCTGCACGTTCTCGTCTGACAATATAAAAATAAAATAGAAATGTAAACAAAGATATTTCACCGAATATAACGAAACAGCAGATACCCAAATATACCTTAACCCCACAACTCATTGTGATTCAGACAAGCCTATTACGCCACACCAGTGTTCCACTGTAAATAAAAAAATGTCCTAAAAACACAAACTTCATCAAATGTCTTCTCCACTGTTTACAGTCAGATCCTTAACTTTACCAAGTTGTAAGTCACCGCA